ATGTGCGGGCCCGGCTTGGGCTCAAGCCCGGGCTTGGGCTTGTGACGACGTCGAGCCGAGCCCTGAGCCCGAGCCGAGCCCGAGCCCTTGGGCTTAAGCCCGGGCTTGCTCACAATACAACGAGTGTTCCGGTGCTATCAAAAGGGAATGTATTTGGGTGTAGTAGATTAATACTGCATGTACTCACTAAATTATAACCTCCAGAAGATCTACACCTGCGGAATAAGTCGAGTTGCAGCGAAGTCCACGGGCGTGCGCCTACGGCAGGCACCAGATGGTGACGCACAATCGTGCTCGGCGAGAGCCGTTACATCTAGAATATCTACATTTTGTCTTCTATGTGCATATTAGGTCGCTCTCTCCTTATTCTGAACTCAGGGAACGGTAACGGAGCCAGCACACCCAAGCCTGGGCTTCCGGGCCGGGCTTGGGCTTGACTACGCTCCGAGCCCGGCCTTGAGCCCGCTGCCAGGCTTGACTCGGGCCAGGCTTTTTGGGCCGGGCTTGGCGGGCTTGCAGGCTTTGAGGCCCGGCCCGCACATCACTAGTACTGATTTATTCGCAGTCTAAGAGGTTGCAGCCATATCTCACAAGGTTCAAGAACGACCGGGCGACTGCCGAGATTCTCAAGCAGTATATGCACAGTGTCTCGCGTGACGCCAAGAAGAAGCTCAAGATTGCCACGGCGAACAGCGGCGCAGATGCCTGTGGTGCTCAGAGCCTTGATGTCGCTCTCAATGGCATCTAGAATATCCATCGTGTGTGATGATCCAGTCTCTGTCGCTCCTTTGTTCTATCATAACTTTACCTGGTGATTATACCATACAGCTCGTAGTAAATAGCATACGAAACTGTATATTTGAACCTGTTCTAGTGTACTTTACAAATGTGACCATGAAATATGAACGTCATCTGTGAGCTTCTTGACCTTAAATGAGCCGGAAAAACCAAGCAATTGTTGGCATTAAGTGCCTTGTTTTGGCTTTCATGTGTCGAAAATACACGACAGACCTCACAGTGAGCACATGGCGATGGTTCAAATATATTGGGACATTTGTCCCAGAAATCGCCCCTTCTGAACACGCAGCTAAACCGGCTTTCTACGCCAGGTTACAAGGTCATTTCTCCCGCTTCCAGACCGGGCAATTTTCACCCGGGATGAACGCTACAGTGCACTCACTGGAGAGCTTTGCGGCGTAAAAATCCCAGATGAGAGGTGAGGTTGTGATGTTTGCAACCTGAGTAGGCCCCAGTGAGACGCTGATTCATGTAGATGCCCTCGACAGCGATTACGTTAGGTAGTGAGACTTCTAGCGACGCTTCCATCCTATAATAATCCAAAAAGATGCACTGGTCTCTCTTCATCTCTGTTTCGGCGTCAGGATCTGAATCTCTCCTTACGAAGCCCACGGCCTGAGATTGTCCGCCCGCTTGTACCACCGACGAAGTACGCTCCTTTGGGGGCACCGGTCCCGAGCGGTACTCGGCGCCGGATGGCAAGGGCTCGAAGGGATCGACCTGCCCAACAGATACAGATGCACTCCCGGCGGACACAGACGTGCTCGCAGTGTAAACGGGCTGTCTTGTCTTGTGGTTTTGGAAGACACCAACTTTCCGGCTGGATGTCTTCATAGTTCCCCGGATAAGAATGATGTCTTCTTCCTTAATGTCGAGACCCCTCGCTCTTGCCTGCTTCACCCAGTCACCGTGATGCTTCTTCATATATGCTGGAAAGATACTGTTAGGAGCAAGCGAGTCGAGGTCGGCATTGTCCGTGAGCTGTAGCATAGCACCTCTCTCTCACGTATACTTGTATTCCACCCCCGCTCCTATGGTGATACCGACCCCTTGCGCACTGCCTCTACGAGCAGCATCATGTATTGAACGTATGCGTACCAAAAGCGTCTTACTCACACACTGCCGGCGAATGACATTCCTCTAGGTTTGAGGCCACGGCTACTGATGACCTTCGTCTGCAGTACATTCTGCACGGTGTAGTTGAGCTCGTCGTCGTACTCCAGTACAGTATAGTCGTAGAGGTCATAGGACAGTCTTCTGGCGTAGTGGTCTGGAGGTTTGGTTACATTGAACAAGCGTCGAAAACGTCCTTGGTCTATGTAACCGACATCCCCTTTCTCAGGAGAAGTACCATTCTCCAAAGGCTCGGGAAACCACATAGCACGGCCGTACTCGCTAGAAGAGAGCTCTGCGGCGTAGACGTCCCAAGCAGGTGAGGAAGACATGCTGTCTGCAGCTTGAGCGAGCAAAGACAAGCTGCTAGTTAATGTAGACGTCCTCAGCGATGCGAGAGAGAACAAGAATGATGGCAATGATGGCGCTGCCAGTCAGTACGTGCAGCGCCGAACGGGATCGGGTAAAATGCCATAGATAGACAGAAAATCCGCCCATCCAAAGTGTGCGCAGTGCACAAAGGCAACGTTACTGTAACGCTAACTTGGCGAATAATGCGTAAGATTACACATTGGACGAGGTCGAACGATGGCAGACAAGCCGAAACAAACCAGAATTTTCGACACATCCTGTATTTAACGCAATACTCCACGGGCGTCGACGACTTCGCATGGACATACAAAAGAGTACAAATAATCCCACAGTTGAATATGGGAACACACCACACAGCCTGAGATCCTATTATTTGAGCATTTTCATTGGGTCTAGTCAGCTTTACGCATCAGCCCACAGCTCCTTCGCCGTCTGAACACAGAGCGTGAGCTTCCGCTTGACGTCGTCCTCTGAAACGTTGTTGCCTTCGGAGTGGGACGCGAAGCCGCACTGTGGCGATATGCAAATTCTGGGAGCGGGTAAGCCGAAACAGCAGAGCGTGGACGAACGCGAGTACGTACTGGTTCAGCGCTTCCTCGACTGTCCGCTTCTCTTCGCCGCTTGCGATCACAGTCGCGGCGTCGTGCACCTTGCGCTTGAGCACCTCCCTGTCCTCGAGCTATTCGCCAAAAAAAAAGCACGTATGTCAACCAGAAGGACCTGCGCAGCAGCGTCAGCACGCACCTCTGGCAGCTTCGACGACACAAGGCCGAGCACGAGGAACTTGTTCTTGGGCAGATACTTGAGCGGCTCGAACGTGCCCGCGCGGGGCGTGTCGTACTCGAGGTAGTACCCGTCGACGTTGATTTGCTGGAAGAGCTTGATCGCGATGCGGTCGTAGCCGCCCTCGCTGAAGTGCATCCCGTCCTTAAAGTTGCCGCGGCAGAGGTGCAGGCCGACGACCATGTCCGTCGGGCGCCCCTTCAGGCAGTTGTTGTACGCCCGGATGTACGTGTCCAACACCGCGTCGGGGTCGAGCCCCGCGTCCTGCATGCCCGCGATCATCGACTCGGCACAGAAGTACGCGAGCAGCGGGTCGTCGAACTGGATGTGCCGGCAGCCCGCCGCGTAGAGGGCCTGGATCTCCTGCTGATACGCGAGTGCGACGTCCGCGAAGTATTCGTCTTGAAGCAGCATGTTAGGTTGGCAGAGGGAAGTATTGGCTACGCGTCTTACCGTCGTTGGCATACACAGACTTGGGATACGCGTACTCGCCGTGGCGTAGGTGGTACCACTCGGGTGCACATATGGTGATCTTGATGCGTGAGTGCTCCTCGGGCGTAGTCAGCGCCTTCAGCGCTTCGAACTGCGAAACGTAGAACGGTTGTGTGCGGGACAGCTTGCTCTCGCAGAGGTAAGTTGGCGCATTCTTAAAAGCGAGCTTCTTGAAAGCCGACGTGTCCGGGACATAGTCCTTGAAGATTTGCAGAGGGGCTGTCCTGAGATCAGCCATGATGACCCACCAGGAGCTATCGCGGACAGACCTTCTGGGATGTACTTCATACCATTCATGTTGTCGAATACTCCATCGAAAAACATGTGCCTATCAGCAGCGTTCAGTACATTCCATGGCGCAAACTGTCGCAGCACATGGTCGCGCACCTCCTGAACTCTCCATCCGTGATGGTCTTGATACCCGCCTCCCTCTGCATCTGCACAATAGCCCTGATAGCCTCATCCTCCACAGCCCTCAGCTCCTCTGCTGTGCACTCCTTTGCGTCGAACTCGCCCCGTTTCTTCAGCAGGTCTTGAGGGCGCTTCAAGGAACCGAGGTGCTCGGCGCGGTGGGGCGGGTTGATCTTGAACGACATTATGTTGTATGTACGGAGGGGTGGGTGTCGCAGTGGGCATGGGAGCCAGACATGGGGCTTTTGTATGTGTGAGCGGCGGATGTACTGTTTTTCCGGGCTAGGGTATGACGGAAACGTTATTGAACATAACCCTCCACCTTGATGGGCTCTGTCACATGAAGATGAATGGTGTCGACCATATGTTCGCAGGGCCAGCGGCGAGGAGCTACGTGCCAATTCAAACGTGGATAAGATCGACTCACTGCCCCGACGGGGTTTGTCTCAGGGCTATCCGGAGGCGCATCTCGCCGGAGAGAACTGTCTCAGGGCTGTCGTGTTGGTGTCGGGCGAATCTGCGACTCCCTTGCAACGGCTCCAGGCAACCTCGTCCGGCGGAGTCTAACGGGCATCGGTAGTCCATAGGGCTGCGGACATAGCAGCAACGGCGGGGCGCTCTCGAAGGCGGGGACAAGCACCAAACACAAACTCCCGTATTTGGCAGTCGTAGAGGTTCAGTTTTCCCTGCCTATCCGTTCTGTGCCAGACAGCATCTTATACATGCGGGACGGGCACCTTGATACAGGGGTAAAAAAGCTAATAGTTAAGGGTTATCATCATGCAAACCTCAGTGTTCAGCATTTGCTTCAGGTCCGGGTGTCTCACGGCTAAAGAACGCAGAAACACATTTATCTATCGATATTCCGTCTAGACAGGGTCGCCTAAAGTAACTTCTTGATGATATCCGCCGCTGTATTAAAATGCCATTATTGCGTCAGCTCGGCGAGTTCTTGATGAGATGGTCATGAAATGCTCACCTTGCTCGGCAATTCCGTAGACAATTGCTGCAATGATCGTTAACGCTCGCATCAGGAACACTCTACTGTTACGCACCTTGGGTATGAACCGCTACCATGAGCGGCAACACTGACAGATCCACAACGCGCATATTTTTTGTTCCGTATACTCTCAGCTCCGGGTCCACCACCCCACCGAGGTCTTTTGGCATCATCGAGCAGGTTCCACAAGTGTCTGCGGAATATAATGGCGTGGGCTGACAAGCTCATATGCGCGATCTGAATACATACGCCATGTGGTAGCAATATTTCTCCCAATAAATTCTGTGCGCCCTTCATGAACACAAATCGCAAGACGAGAGACGTTCGTGCTCACCTTTCAGTTTCTCATCGGTGGTAACGTCTACAGCTGATCCGGGTGTCAACTCGAGGTCAATCAAATCGCTGAACGGAGGGGTTCGGATGGCCTTGAAAATATACTTCAAGCCTTCAGCCAAGACCTCCAGGTCCATCCCATCCTCGAGATAGCGTGAATCGATCCGGGGATGCGCCTTTGGATCTGCGGACGCGATATGCTGCATGTATTTTAGTAGGTTACTCGGTAGATTTTAGATCTTCGACTCTTTCGTACAGTAACACCACGGGACCAGGGGTGCGTCAAATTGGATGTAATTCCCATGTGTGGCTTATGAGGCTCTGGTACCGGCCTGAACGCCGTGGCGGAAATCAGGTACTCGATGTCAGCTCCTTTATCACTCTCGAGAAGCTTCAGCATAAGCTCGAATTGCTTGCGGAGACCAGGAGAGTAAGTCGCCCAATTACTAGTCAGCTGCGCTTTCTTCTTTGCGATAATTTGCGGCACCCTGTCTGTCACCGTCTGCAAGGGCGTGAAGGCGAAGGCGTTCATGACAACGGTATAGTCGATGCTCAGTTTGCTGACAATATTATTGTCAGACTTCTACGCGTAGAAGATAATTCCTACCCACTGCATCTCCTTCACATCTACAGCCGCACGTTCATCAGTTAGCATGTGGCCAGAGATGAGGCCCTTCCCTTCCTTCATGCCTGAGCCAATTGAATGATGCTGTTGTTAGATTAGTGCTACCATAAATCACTGCAGGAACTACACACGCATATATGGTGATCGACAAACATAGTGCTCTTGCAAGTTACCTCCAACAGCCGGAAGGTCGATCACCGCGTTAATTCCCAAAGGTTCTAGGATCTCCTTATCCCCAATCCCGCTAAGTTCGAGAATCTGAGGGGACTTGATGGCTCTTGAAAGCACATCGCGCAGTTTTAAGACTCCAGAGACAACACAAAAGGTCAGAGCGAGGCTTATCCGGCACTTAAGATGATCTCGCGTGCGGCAAAGACCTTTTGCATTCTTCCACCATGCTTGAATTCGACCCCGCGAGCTACGACGTTCTCCCCTCTTCCCTCCGTCAGGATCCGACAAACATATGCCTCAGTTAGGACTTTGAGATTCGGTCTATCGAGTACCGGCAATAGGTAGGCCTGATCACTGTGGTCTCAAACCTCTCGGGAGTGGAAGAAAATATGTGCTCTTACCGTTGCAGCATCCACACGACGGCCCGAATCTGGGTCAACGGTTGATAGAACCTTCCAGGAGCCTATAATCTGCTTTTCTATTGGTGCGATGCATCGTTATGTACGGAATAAGCACCCACCTCACCGCCCAACTGCCGGAAGACAGATAAGCAGCTGTAGCTGCCAACCTTAGCAAATTCACTCACTGCGTCTGCGAGGACACTAAGCCCATTCTTAGCCAGACTCTAGAAGAGAACAGGGTTCAAATCTCCGCGCCCTTGTCACAGTCACCAGGTACAAACCTGTTGGAAGGCAGCATCGGCGCCCGTTCCAGTGGGAGCGAAGGACAGGGTCAGTGGACCTAAGACCAAAAGTCGTCGCGAGGAGATATAGGCAATAACCAGTGACGAACCACTATGTCCGACAGAGTCCGAATTATAAAGGTCTCGGAAGCCACCATCGATCTCACGAGGGCAGGGCGTACGAAATCTGCACGGACATAGGCTCCGCGACAATGGACATATCTTCAGGAATAGACGTACCCTTCTGCCTTCTTAGCATACTTCTGGAAGGTCTCCCAGTTCCAGCCCGGGTTTCCCAAGGCCTCTAACACTGGGACGTAGTTCAGCCCGTCTCATTCCGCAGAAGGCGGCTTTTTTCGTACTGTCCATCTCTTCATGGACAGGTTCGGTATAAGCAAGGACATTCATCGCAGAGCTGCCGCCAAGCCCAGCTCCTCTGTAGTCGTTTATTTAGTGCGATATTATGAGATGACAGAGATTTATCCACCGGTTCCAAGGAAGAAGGTGCGCCTGCGGGGCATTTTGTTGGGGTATGATTGGGAACGCCCAGTCATACTCGGGGTTCGTGAACTGTTTGCCAAATAGCAGCGGGTTGCCTGAATCACGGGCCTGTGCCTCAATTTTGACTGTGTCGGGACATCTTGGGCTTTCTCACGTATCAAGGGGTCGTCGAAGTGGGCTTTTCCCGCTTCCGAAACCGCAACGGTCACGTTGGAATCTCCACTAAGACGATGGGCGAGGACAGATCCTGCAGTCTGTAAGGGCTGGTCAGCAAAAATACGACGCCTTAGAACAAGAGTCCCGTACTCCGCAACCTAGCCAAAGGCCCCAAGTTAGCATGCAAGTATCTCTTTAGTACATCTGGGATACTCGCCAATAATAATATAGTCAAACAATTCGCCGTCAATGTCTTGACTGCGAGCGAGCTTGTCCGCCATCTCTCAGCTGCACCAGATAAGTGGACAACGGGGGCACAGAACGGATAACCAGCTCACGCATATATAACCAGATATCGGGCGTCCTTCATATCGATACGGTCTCAGGACGTCGTCCGATACGGCGCAAGACCGGCAGTGTTGCAGCAGCTAGAGCGCTTCTTGCCACTAGTGATGTGCGGGCCGGGCCTCAAAGCCTGCAAGCCCGCCAAGCCCGGCCCAAAAAGCCTGGCCCGAGTCAAGCCTGGCAGCGGGCTCAAGGCCGGGCTCGGAGCGTAGTCAAGCCCAAGCCCGGCCCGGAAGCCCAGGCTTGGGTGTGCTGGCTCCGTTACCGTTCCCTGAGTTCAGAATAAGGAGAGAGCGACCTAATATGCACATAGAAGACAAAATGTAGATATTCTAGATGTAACGGCTCTCGCCGAGCACGATTGTGCGTCACCATCTGGTGCCTGCCGTAGGCGCACGCCCGTGGACTTCGCTGCAACTCGACTTATTCCGCAGGTGTAGATCTTCTGGAGGTTATAATTTAGTGAGTACATGCAGTATTAATCTACTACACCCAAATACATTCCCTTTTGATAGCACCGGAACACTCGTTGTATTGTGAGCAAGCCCGGGCTTAAGCCCAAGGGCTCGGGCTCGGCTCGGGCTCAGGGCTCGGCTCGACGTCGTCACAAGCCAAGCCCGGGCTTTGAGCCCAAGCCGGGCCCGCACATCACTACTTGCCACATTGATGACGAAAGCTTACGTTGCGCAAGATTCTCAGAAGCAGTACTGGATACTATAGCAAGCTCTAAGCCGTC